TCACTCTGCTTATTATCTGGACCTCATCCACTCTGATGTACACCAAGTCTCCTCCCCTTCATTCTCTGGGTATCGATATTGGGTCACCTTCATTGATGATTACACTCAATTTTGTGTTGTTGTCCCTTTGAAGGCCAAGTCAGATTTTTAATGCTTTCAAGAGTTTTAAGGCTTATGCTGAGACTTAGCAAAAAATCAAGGCTCTGCGTGATGACAAAGGGGGAGAGTACATCTCCAAGGAGTTTGAGCAACTCACAGATGATCATGGCATTGTCAGACAGCATACCACCCAGAATAGGCCTCAGCAGAATGGAGTTGCAGAAAGAGCAAACAGGCTTCTCTCTGAAAGAATCACTACCATGTTTTCAGAGTCTGGATCAACCTTCTAAGCTTCCAAATCACCCTCCTCATCGCTCACCTTCTCCTGGCTTGCTTATTGCACTGAGACGCTGTCTATCACAACACAATGGGATCCACACCCGTGTACAGTGATTCTGGACCTTCTGGGCATGCAACCAATCAGTATGCTTTCCAAGTACGCCTTGGTAGCTTAGTTGGTAAAGCACCAGACCATGAAAGCTGGAGTCCCAGGTTCAAGCCCTGGCCAATGCATATTTTCTCATACTATAAACAAATGTCATAATTTGTCACTGTCTTGTTGATAAAGTGTTTGATATGGGATAGCTACCAAAGCTTCTTCATCCTAGGGTTACCAGAAGTTTACAATCTAAGCTGGACAATGGGTAATAACCTAGTTCATTTGTGGGGTGGAAATTGATTATCCCTTTTGTTGTGAGTATGTCGATAGTCCTCGTGCTCTGGAAGACTAATATAACAATGGTAGATATGTCCTTGGTGATATAGAGGACAAGTGGTAGTATGTGAATAGAAGCATGAGAGTATGTGTGAGCTTGAAGTGTTACATGACTAGCTTTAAGATATAGCCAACACTAGGTGTGACAATGATAGTCCTCACTTGTTGAGAGACGAATATAATAAAGATAATAGTGTCCTAAACTTAATAAAGGATAAGCTATGATACACTGATGGTCAATAGAAGGGTGAAGCAACACTTGACTATGCTTCAGTGACTGACTGCAGATGAGCTTACACCAGATCAATAGATGACTGATATAAGTTTGAGATGGACTATAGAATACTAGAGCTACTTGTGGCAAATAATAAACAATCACAGACTGTAATTACACTTGGACTACTGTTATCTGTGACAGACATGACTTGATGACTAAGCTTCCTAGGGTGGGCAATACCTCTTGTATGCTTCCTAGGCAAAAGCTAGTTGACTTCTGAGTGGTTGTCTACTTATGTGGGGACTGCTTGTAGTATAAGCTTTTTTTTTATTAGGTGGAAAGTTGGCCTCCTTATATACCTTTTGGCTATAGGGGCTCCTTCCTAGTTGGTAATTACAAATGGTAGTACCAAAATATCTAATAGAAATTCAAAAGGCCAGAATCATTTATTGGGAATCTAGATGATTCTAGAGTGGTCTTTTGAGACTAAGAATAGAAAAGTAATCAGCAAAATATGACTCAGTCAGGCACAGTGTTCTATTTATAAGAAACAAATGCCAATTCAGCCTTCTCCACAGTAAATCAAGAATTTTGGAGAATTTCCTTATTTGGAAGCCCTCCAAAAGTATCCAGACTAATAGGGGCGTGAAAGTATTACCTACTCCCCAAAAACCGAAGTGATTGCTGAAGTGGTTGTTGAAGAAAAGGCAGATTATGTCATGGGAAATTCACTTTCCCTTTTCAAAAACTGACCATGGGCAAGCCATGTGGTCAGATTTCAGGGTGGCTGCCAGTGGCTGACAGTAAGCGTGATACAAACATTCTTGTTTGGCTCATATCTCCAAAACTAGCAGTCATCAAAATATAAAACTTTGTGATATAGTGCTGAGCTGGGACATTTTACTGTGACGATACCACTTGACTTGACGCTCTGGCATCGTAGATTGGCTCACCACCATCATGCTGATGTCAAGGGACTGATACAGAGAGATCTGGTCACTGGGCTTACATTGGAATCAAAGGCTGCTTCTGATCCTGTCTGTGAACCGTGCTTGTCTGGCAAGATGCATGCCAATCCATTTCCCTCATCTGATACTCGCTCTGCTCATCCTTTGGACCTCATCCATTCAGATGTACACCAAGTCTCTTCACCCACATTCTCTGGATATTGTTACTGGGTCACCTTCATTGATAATCACAGTTGATTCTGTGTTGTTGTGCCTCTCAAGGCCAAGTCAGATGTCTTTGATGCTTTCAAGAGATTCAAGGCTTATGCTGAGACTCAATTGGAGCGTAAAATCAAGGCTCTGCGCAATGATAAAGGGGGGGGAGTACATGTCCAAGGAATTTGAGCAATTCACAGATGACCATGGTATTGTCAGACAGCATACCACCAGGAATTGTCCTCAGCAGAATGGTGTGGCAGAGAGAGCAAACAGACTTCTGACTGAGCGTATTACTGCCATGTTATCAGAGTCTGGACTGCCTAACAGCTTCTGGGGTGAATGACTGTCCACTTTGGTGCATGTTTGGAATAGGTGTCCCACTGATGCAGTGGCCCATGCCACTTCCTTTGAGTTGTGGTATGGACGCAAGCCTGACATGTCTCACCTTTGCGTTTGGGGCTGCACTGCCTATGTGCATGTGCAAAAGGACAAGAGAGGTGTCTTTGGCTCTCATAAGGAGAAATGTGTGTTCATTGGTTACCCTGAGGGTTTTAAGGGATGGAAATCTACAATCCTACCTGTTAGTTTTGGTGATTCTGCACCTAGTTGTGCTATCTATTTTCCCTTCTTTCTAAATCACTTTCCTCTTTATTCTTTTTGCTCTATTGTTCAGTATTCACTGAGCATTCTATAATTTTGCCTTTGTGGCTGATTTGTTTACCTTTGTTTACAAAACTTCGGACTAGTATTGCAGAGTCCAGTATTCCTATTCTTTAGTTAATCATACTGGACTCTAGTTCTGTCCCTGTTAGCTCTCAGCAAGTGGCTAGACACTATCACAACACAATAGGATCCGCACCCGTGTACAGTGATTCTGGACCTTCTGGGCATGCAACCAATCAGTATGCTTTCCAAGTACGCCTTGGTAGCTTAGTTGGTAAAGCACCAGACCATGAAAGCTGGAGTCCCAGGTTCAAGCCCTGGCCAATGCATGTTTTCTCATACTATAAACAAATGTCATAATTTGTCATTGCCCACAGCACAGGAATATTCACTCATTATGTTGTATGGTGTCAATGTGACAAACTGAAGAATAACCGACACTTTTAGCTCCTCAGAACAAAGTTGTTCCCTACCAGCAGCCTCTAGCCTCCAGCCCCAGACTGCTTTCACATTTAAAGCATTGATTGCATCCCAGATTGGCGCTTTGGAGTGTAAAACTACAGCAATGAGCTTCTATCAGAAGCTGAGGCACCTTTCTAGCAATGCATTCCCTCACCTTGCATCTGTAAAGTCTTCACTAATCTCATCTAAAGTAATAGCATTTTAATAATCTGTTTTCCAGGATCAATACCGTGAACTCATGAGGGTGTCCAGGAAATATTGAGACTTACTCAACTGGAAGCAATTTGGATTTAGTCATGATGTAGAGACCCAACCAAAAAAATGGAGATTTTGCCCTATTTTGTGCTGCATGCCCACAACCTGGTATTAATCTTTCAGTGAATTGGAAGAAAAAGTATGAAAGGTGAGGTTTTGGTTAGATTCATGTTAGCCCTGACTTGCATGTAAAGGATGTAATAAAACTAAGTGAAACTCAGCTGCTGCCCAAGAGGCTATAGAAATGACTGAGGTATTCCTATACTAAACCCCCTACTACTTATACTCTATGGAGTGGTGGCTATGCTCCATGGAGAACAATGGCTGCTTCGGCAGAGATCGGGTTTATCCGGTTTTGTCAGACGCTTCCCAGAAGTTCTCAATTGAACAGATCCTTCCCTACAACTGAGGATTATTGTCAGCGTCAAAGATGTAGTTGCTGAGCACTCTCTTCCTAATGGTAGCAAGGAAATATAGAGTAGATCAAACTTGTTCTATCCTACTGTTATACAGGGGTTTATATACTGAGTAGGTAGTGAATTCTAGCTCCTCTCTAAGCTGGGTTTATATGTAAGAGCCAATAGCATAAAGACCTCCAGGGTCAAGGGCAAGAGGTTATAGTCCAAAAGGAGTATTCTAGGGGAAATAGTAATAATAGGTCAGGAGTATATAACCCTAATATAACTAAAAGGAGTATCCTTGGAAGAACCATGATCAGCTGGTATAGGCTATGGCTGTGCGTCCAACAATGGAATAGAAAGACAAGGTAACAGTACAAGGGTTGAGAGATAAGAGATAATATGAGATGATGTAATACGGGAAGATATGATAGTGATAGTTGATAATCACTGGATAAGGAAATGTAGTCCAATAAGTAGAAAGGAAAACATTGAAGGAAAATGAGAGGTTATAGAAATTTGTGACATGGGGTTACCCACTTCTCATATGGACAATTACCAGAAGAGCATGGGATCATCCCAGCTTGACAGGGACAAATATCAAAAGAGGATGGGATGATTCCAATCCCATATGGGAAAATCCCAGCAAGAGATGAGATGATCCCAGCTTGAAGTTACACTCAAGATTTCCCAACATCTGTGACATTGTGAAAAGCCTATGTTTATAACAACAATAAGCGCTTCTGAGGAAGATAATAACAAAATTTTCTCCTTTTGGTCCTTCAATGGATGGGGTTCTGGTGGAGAAGCTTTGAGAGCTTCCTGCTGAGATTTTGAGAGTAATAATCAAGCAGGTCCAGGTGAGGTTAGGAGTTTGAATAGTGTAAATTCATGTTGGTGTTTTACTCTACTACAGAAAGGCTTATATAGGAGTACTGGCTAAGTAGGAAGGCGGCCTGATATCTAACTAGCCAATGATAAATAAGAGGCAAAAGTGGTGAGATAGAAGTAAAGGAATAATGGTCCAATAGTAATAAGACCTCTAGGACATAAGACAAGATAGGAGAACCTATAGAGAAATGTCCAAAGATAGATAAGGCCTGCTATCAACCAATGGGAGAAACTTCCAGGAGAATCCTAGAAGTAATGACAAAGGATAAGCCTAAAGTTAATAGGCAAATAGTGGTACAGGGTTAGAAAAGGATGTGAAGGAAATAATGACAGCAGCAAGGGAATAAGTGCTATTGTAGAATCAAAGATAAGTCCAAGAAAAATGAAAAAAAAACAAGGAGGTAAATAGTGCAATTGTAACGCTTGATATGGACAAGTACCAAAAGAGGATGAAAGGAGGATAGGATCATCACAGTTTGATATCGATCAATGTCTGAAGGGTAAAGTATTAGTCAGAGAAAATCTTAGAATGAGATGGGATCATTTCAGTCCAATCTGATTTGGAAAAATCTCAAAATTGCATAGGATTATCTCACCACATCACAGACAAATCCATGCAGGGGACAAGACCACCCCGAGTGAGAATAAAATAGGAAGATCCCACAACAGGAACAGAATTATTTAATAGTATGCTTAGGCTACTGGTGACTTAACATGACAGGGAAAAAAATAGTCCCAAAATGCACTAAGGTTATTTTTGTAACATATTTTCCAGCAGTTTCTATTTTTTATATGTTGCAGCATTTGGCTTGTAAACCAACTATTATGTTATGGTAGGACCTGGATGAACCTAAGGTTAATTGGGACAGTAATTCAGAGTAGCCCTCATATAGGTTCATCCCAAGTCACATGAAATTGCATAAGCATGCAGAGTACACCTTTCAGCCATTTTGGTTTTCACACAAATTTATAATCAATTGTATGGTATCTTTGTGCATTTTTTAGTTCAAACATTTGGATGAAGCTACACATTTCAAAAAGATATTATATCTTTGGGATCAGCACATTAAATAAATCCATGATATATTTTTGCTTGGTTGAAAGTAGGATGAGCTTGAATAAAAGCTATTGTAATCCTGCATATTTATGTGCTTAGTATTGTCAAATATGTTGTATGCCTTTTACTACAAGCCATTTTATATAACATTGAATAAAATCCATCCAGGGTGGATAAATCTATTTTGTGATATACAATAAATTATGTGATAAGTAGGAATAAAAAGGTTATATAGAGCTAAGGCAAAGAGATATGGTTGAATTATCTTCTAATCAACTGAATTAAATCAAGTTAATTTGTAAGTCGTTATATGTCACAATTAGTCACACCAATTTTTGGTCAAAGTCTCCTCCATCAATCTATAGCATATGATATCACACTAGAAGCTAGACAAATGAAGGTTCAATTAAAAGTAAACACCATTTGAGATATTATATTATAAATGACAAAGGCAGGTAGTATTATACTCTGCTTTATGGCTATTAGTACTATTGATAATGTATTGATATTGGCTACATTCATCACCATTAACATATATCTTCCTTCTTGATAGTCATTTATGCAGGAACTATCTTTGCAATCAAGCCTCCCTGACACCATATGATATATGACAAATGTCTGGGATTATCCCACCATAACAAATGGTCTGATACCATGGGAAAGTCCCAGAAGGGTGGTATTAGTATTATCCCACTTCTGGGAAGATCCCATCCTTGCTACAGCACTTGGGATGATACAAGGAAAAACAAGCTTTTAGCTTTATACATTTACACAGATAGTTGAAGCTAAATACTTATGTTTGGGAGGTGACTGAAGTGTAGTGAGACTACCTAATGGTCAAAGTCATATATTATTACTCCTAAGGAACGTGATCTAAGCACTGGATATATCAATGACTCTCATATCCACAAGCAAGATCAACAAAGTAGGCTACAGTCCACTTTGAAAAGGGCAACTTCAGAATACTGTCTCTGAGCCCCAAAAGACAGACAACAGCCCTGATACCTCCCAAACAGGGCCTACACCAGGTAGATGACGCATCCCCACCTCAAAATGCAATAATCTGAGCCAAACCTATAGCACTAAAAATGAAAATGGATGAGTTACTGTACATAGGGCAATGGGGCACTTCTCACACAAAGGTCTAAAGAAGCTCATTGAGTTGGACATGACTATAGGATTGACACTGGATATCTCTGTTGAGAAAAAATTATGCAAACCATATGCAAAAGCCATGTCCAAACTATTCCCTCAGGGATCTTTGAACTGTGCTAAATTGTATGGAACAGGATATATACAGATCTATGGGGACC